AACCCCATTGACTATAGTACTATACAGTTACAAGTATCATAAACCATAGTTATTGGAGTTATAAACCCACCTAGCTAACTATGGCTAACTATGGGGCCCCGCATTGTAGGTTTTGTATAGGACAAGTCATCCACCCGTGCCTCAAAAGCTGCAGGTACACTTCCGGGCCACCCTGGCTGGACATCTACGAGGAAAAGCCGCCGGCATCGGTGGTGTGCTACTCGGCGATGGCGAAGAATGGACGGTGAATCATCCAGGGAAACTCCATGGGTTTTGGGGGTACCCTTGGGTGGGCAGACTTTTGAGAGCCTGCGAATTGGAAAATTACCCATGGAACTTTATGGGCCACTTTCCATAGCACACGGTTCAATTACCGGAGCGGAACCTGAAGGAATATGAAAAGGAGATACCTTGGCTATACCCCGGGCTGCGCGGACTCCGTAGAGTGGCAAAATTCACCCGTGCTAAGACGAACCAAAGGAATATAGCACATTGTTGGTTATCAGATGTTATCAAATGTTATCAGGCATATTATATCCTAGCAGATCCTAGCAGTGGTTGGTTTCATCATCTGCAATCCGTATATTTTCCCGGGCTCACCCCATGGTTTCAGCTCGAATTCCTGTTAGGTGACGTAAAGAAACGAGGAGCATCAGTGCCTCGCCATCGAAAGCTCTGGTCCTGGGAAAAGAGACGGGTGAAAAACAGGTGAAAATACCCTCTGGTAAATCAGCATATGGAAATTCATGGAGGACCATCTACAAATGGATACGAGTGGTCATTTCACATAATAGCCGCCTCTGTAATTGGTATTATGGTGAAACATCTATAAATTGCAATTTCACATAGCCAAGAATGGCCCATTTGTAAATTGTTAGCGATGATGATTTTCGAGAGCAAACTGAGAAATTACCAAAGGGTATAAGAACATATAAGATCATATAAGAACATGACTGTTTTTTTACTCAAAGAGTCAAGGAGTCATGAAGAAATGTGATCTTCCACTGTATCAGATTCGCTTTATTATGGGGGATACCGTTAACCCGATTTTTGGGGGATGCCAAATGCCCGGGTCCTGGTTGGTGAATGGGGCTCCCATGGGCTCCCCTGAGGATCGGCCCTCTAATTATGGCTACATCCAGCAAGCACATTCCTACTTGGAAGCAGTTCCCTGCCACAGATCTCGGCTCCTGGTAGTGTTGAGCTGCTGGTTGAGCTTTTGTGCTGGTGTGGCTGTTGTTGTTGCTGTTGTTGGCGGTCGCTTGTTGGTTGTTGCTGTTGTTGGTTGCCCTCTAGTAAACTAACATAGATGTGGAAAATCCACCATTCCTAGATCATTTTCGGAACGGGCAACCATGTTTTTTTCCACATCTACGTTAGTTTGTCCTAGGATACCCAATATATAAAAATATTTATATATGTGTATAATATTTTTTAACTATATGCAAATATATAATATCATATTGTATATCCCCCTTTTTTTTGGTTTAATCAATTTTTTCTGGAGTAAAAATCTCCCATGTTTGCAGAAAACCAACATTTTGGTTGCAGCAAACCACCTCCGAAGACTTCCCGTTTTGCAGCTGAGGACTTGCGCGTTTTGCAGCACCGCGATGCACTTCAAAGAGCACTTGGTGTCACCTGGAACTATGACCTTCAGGGGATGTCATGGGGAGTTACTAGGTGATTTAATGAAACAATGCTGGAATTTCATGGGATTGAATGGGTTTTTATGCTCGAATTTAATGTGTTTAACATTGTTTAACTGTTTAATGGATATATATATATAAATAAATAAAACTAACCAACCCAGAATTGATATGACATGGATGTGTCTCAAAATATTATATACCGTATACCCCAAATGGCCAATCTAAGAAGGATTATTATGATTAACCAAAAACTGCTTCCGGCTGTAACCAGGGCTTTTGCGATTAGTATCTGGGGCTTAGGTTTGGAGGTTTTTACCCGCTACAATCAGCTGCCATTGGGGCTCTTTCCTGGCTTCCATGCTGTGCCATGGCTGTGTGGCGCTATTGTTCATCTGATGAAGATGTTGAAGAGGACTGCCACTAGCTTGGGGGATCTCATGTCAGGGAAATCATTTTATGTCCACATCCCTGTGGAGGAAAGATACATATCCCTTTCTGTGGAGCAGTTTGCCTACATCTACTGCGGGGAAAGGTTTCGACGTGAGACCAGTTACTTGTCAAATGTTGAGGATGTTCCAAATAGGTCTCAATCCCCTGGATCGCCGGAGCTGAGGCTTGGATTGGTTCTTCCGACACTGGGGAGGCAATTTCACCTATGCCTCAGACTGCCACTTGGCTGTTGTTTTCCATGCCAGAACCCAAAATCTTTTGAAGTGTGAGTTGTTGTTCAAACTCAGGCTCTGGTATGGATACCCCACTGACCGCTCTCAAGATGTTGTTCCCGGCGAACAAGAGCAACCTTGTGACCTACATGCCCCTGAGCACAAACAAATGTTTCAGGTTCCCCTGCTTTTTTTTATCCTGTTTCGCTCCCCCTGTTTTGCGCAAGCGCTACTGGCAAGCCACCCTTAAGGTGCAACAGCGAGCGTGACGCAACTGCCAGGAAGTATCTTGAGCTGAACCACCCACTACCGACGCATGGGCTACTCACTTGCATTGGCCCGTACTGGGAGAACATGCAAAGCCTCCCAAATAAAAGTTGCCAACCATGTCAACCGTGTTATTTTCTGGAAACCCAAGGTCAAGCGAAGATATCTTTGCAACGAACTACAGGCAATTGCGTCGCAAGGCGCTTCACGCCTGAATTAATTACATGCAAGTCAGTGAATTTATATATGCAGCACCCGGCAGACTTTGCTTTGGAGGTATGCCTATACGGGGCAGGATTTCCCTGCACCCCGTTTAGCCTTCTACACTGGGGTTCGCAACTTTTACAAGAACAAGAAGCTCGTCAGATGTACCGCGTGCTCGACAACATTAAGGATTGCCAGCCGGCAGCTACTTGCAGCATGTAATGTTTATACCAAGTCATGCAGTGATGATGGAACTTTATCAAGTCATGTTATGCTAGATGATGTTCGATATTTCAACAAACCAGCGCATGGCCTACAAAACTAAGATGGGATTGCTGGAGAACGTGCCTGGCTTCAACCGGGTCAAGGATGAGTTTCAGAAACTCCTGAACGAGAAGTTGCCTGAGTTACTTGGTAGCAATTTTCAACCTACTATGCCCCGAAACTGTTTGACACCGTCAATTTTTTGTGGGGCCCAAGGTACAAATCGGCTTTCTTGGAGCTAGATGCGCCCCTTGGTTGCCTAATTCTAATTCTAGTCGAATTACTGAGTCCTCAGATTTAAACATTCGCATTTGGAACCCGTTTTGGACATACATCCCATTCAGAAACCAACTATTACTGCTGAGGAAAGACTATGGACATGTAGTCTCTCGGAAGAGGCTGTACATTCTTCTTGTGAGGGAGGAATTGATGATGAAAGCTGCCAAATCCAATTTTGCAGCTTTCTGTGAGAAGATTTGCGGGCAGCTGCAATGTGAACCGGACGTGCGCTGGCTTCTTGCCACTGTTTTTAAACCCAATTAACACTGATTGTCCTCGATGCCTGCGGGGGCCAGAGCTGGGGACCCACATAGCTAAGGAAGGATCTTTTGCTCGAGAAGAATCACCCTCTTGTTCAGGAGGTGATGGGGCAGCGTTCCAATCGGAGGAAGAGTTTTTTCTTTGTCAAGTCCCTTAGCTTGATATGAATTTACCTGTTTTTGATGTTCTATGTGGCATTCTCCCACTGGTTGATGATGCATTCACAAAATGTAAACCTTCATCATGAGGCGGGATGATTCGGGAGCCAAATGGAAGAAGGTTCACAAGACTTGGGCCAAACGAAATGGAATCAAGGCCTGCTAGTCCAACATGAACTGAACTGAGTGCCATTAGTTTACCCACCTGTCCATTCTCATCTAAAACCTTTGAATTTTCCATGCATCAGGCGGGGCCAGCGAAAGGTTCCTTTCGGCGAACCTTTCCCGGAGGAGCCAGTCAGATCACAACCCACAGAGAGCTGGAGGCTTGTTCTCTCTCCATTTTGTTTGTTTCAGTCATGGGGTTTGGCGAAATTTGTTTCAACCTTCTGTGAGGCCTTGGACCTTTTGACTATGAAACATGGGGATGACATCGGCTGCCTCAACACCAGCCAAATGCTTCACAGGATGCCTCTTTCGATTGGGGATGACCCATTGCCATGCCTTACGTCCATATCTTAGAATGTTCATTGAAATAGCCCAGTCATATGCAGCAATCAAAAAATCAATGAAGTCATACCTAGCGGGTTTGCCATTTATGATTTGTAAACTAGTTGAGGCCCAATGGAAGTTACTTCTTGGGGTGCCAAAGCCGTTACTTGACAGGAAGCTCAGCTGAACTAAAGTTTTTAAAGTGACTTGCCGCCGCCAGCCGCCGCATCTCAAACGCTGCAAATCTCAGGATTTGAGGCCCTGATCCTGCACGGAATGCCGGTTGATTCCCTTCACACCGATTGCTTCAAGGACAAAGACCCTAGCCAGCATAAACTATGATTGGTGGCTTTATCTTATCAACAATAGATTATAGGTGCCCATCTTCTATCATCTTCTCATGTTTGGATCGTTCTTCCCAACCGAGGAACTGTTCCAACTTGCAGGGAATGGAATGGCTATTCGATGTGTGATGCTCGCGGTAGCAGTTGCCCTTAGGAGTGTGAATCCACACCACGTCAGGGGCTACATTGTAGACTAGATGGGCGGCGAAACACCTATCACCCACAGATGACATGAGAAACTAAGGGAAAAAAACAGTTGGATGATAGTCATGTGTTTTTTGATTTGCAATGATATCACAAAATATGATTTTCCAAAGTATCGCACGGAGATATCCCACAGATTCAGATTTCCTCACAGCATTCCCAGGGTATCAAACCCGCTTCTGGCCATTTTGGCCATGCCTGTCCTGAGCCGCTATGATGCTGATGCAAATGAACTACGGCCTCAGCAGGCGCTTTGGCGATATGATGAGACTTCAGATGACCAATCTTCAGGTTCGAATACTTGCGGGGGAGGTTCTGAGATTCTTGGATCCAAGAAGTAGGCTTGTGTAGGATTCACATCAAGTGAGGAAAAAAAGGTAAACCAAAATCAGCCATCCTACCCCAGACTTAGGACAGAAGATGATGAGTCAGGGCCGCCAACTGTGCATCGGTCCACTGTAGATTTGAGAGTTGGTGCCATCGATGCTTTGCATTCCTTGACCGAAGCTAGTGATCAATCTGTGTTTGCAGTCCACGCACTTGACCCAGCACGGATTACTGCTCTACTGAAGACGCCACCTTGCGACTGCGGGTGTCGGCTGCCAGCGGACATTTTGAAGAAGACCTGCCGAAGCTTTTGGAGTCTGCCCAAGCAGAGCCAAGACGCTCTGTTATGGAACCTACAGGTTGGATCAGGTTCATCGAAAAGGAAGTGGATGATTGAAGGACCTATAGTCAAACAAGGGTTTTGCGTAAGACTGACATGCTTCATTATCTATAAAAGATATATATATATATAAATAATATATATATATTATAAAAAAACTAGATTATATTGATATTTATTATATTCATTATATATAAATATACCAAATAACAATACAATAATATATTAATAAATATATATATATATTTGACATCCGGTTCTTTGCAGGATACCCACTATGCCGTATGGCCTGGATTCGATACTTGGGGATTGGAAAGCAGCGCCTGGAACGTACTAAACGTGCATTTCATGGGATCGACGACAGAACCCTGAACCAAAGATCTATGGCAGCAATGTCTGTTGTTTGAGGGGGGGCCAGTGTGCCTTAGAAAACAGCACGCGAATTCTAAAACACAACGGGGCGCATTCAAAAAACTTAGGTGAAACCACACGAGCTGCCGTACAGAGCTCGTCGGCCCACTCCTTCTTCAGCCATCTCTATCATACAGCTGCTGAGTCGATGCCAACGGAGAGACTTGACTTACAATTATTTGGTCAGGGTTGGGTTGATCTACTTAATTTCAACTAGCCCTGCCTAGCTGAAGTGTGACTCTCAGGTTTGTTTCCGGTTCTGATGCAGCCTTTTCCCGTGAAGAGGAGCACTTGAAAGAGGAGCTTCTCAAAAAACTGATCCATCGCAAGCTGACGGGTCCTACGGTGGAAATTATGGAATCGATGGACCCCACAAAATTGCCTGTGAGAGAGCTGCCCCCAGGCACAACAGCGTCCCTGTATGTCATGTACCTTGCTTTTTGCAAGGTAGGCCATAGCGGTACCTCTGAGCCATGCGGCAAGAGCACATTTTACAATGTGTTCAAGGCCTGGTCTCCAGCTTTGCGCTTTAGGAAAAAATCCCAACACGCGATGTGCGTGACATGTCAGACGTTGAAGACGGCCATCCACAATGCAAGCGAACTGATCTCAGTTGTTTAAATTTAGCTTCCAAGTGCGCACCGTCTAAATGCTTCTTGACGATGATGACCACTTTTTTTTTACTTTTTGACGATGATGACCACCTTCATAAAACTTGGAGACAGCTCTCTAGCTAAGGACTTCGATGAGCATGCCAAGCTTTGCAACCAATTGCTTTCCCACTACTCAGACCAATACAAAGATCGATTGGTTTACTGGGCGGCAAGGGCTAGATCGTGGACAGAGGGTGACATACTATGCATGATAGTTGACTCTTTCGATAGATCGAAGTTGCAGCTCCCTGCATGGCCCCTACGGAGAACCCCGAAGAGAACCGTGTACGAAACAATCAACAGTGACCTTGATCAATTTTTTGCAGAAAAAAGAAAAACAAACATGGGGATAGGATTTGGGCACACGGGAGAAAATGCTCAGGCCAAACAGTTGGTTTTTAAACATTGTTTCTCACTCGTGTTGCCGAGGAGCATCATTGGTTCTCACGGCGGTTCTTTGCCATGGAGTTGGATGTTGGATGTTTCTATCCGCCCAGGAAGGGATGAGTGCTGGTAGCAATTGGAATTGGGAATGCGTCTCTTGGCACCAATTTGGTGACAGATCGGGCTTCTGAAGTCAAGTAATAAGTAGTTGACATTACTGGGTTGGGGCAGATCCTCCTGGCCACTGTTTCTAGGTCATGAGAGCTTGCGAAGGAGTCTGGGTGAGATCCCGGGCACGAAATTCACCGTTTGCAAAGGAGTTACTTGGAATATAGCTGTTAGTTTTGAAATTTGGCATTTCCCGATCTAGCTAGCAAACCCTTGTAAGTAGAAGTCTATCTAAGGCTATGGCTCCAATCCGATAACACCGTCAAGGAGCTTCGTAACCAGTATGGGGCGAAAATGTTGACGAGTATGGTTCAGGCCGGCTTGTGGGGGGTGGCATCATGCCACCACCTGCAAGTCGGCCACACCCACGAAGACATAGACGCCATATTTTCCCTAGTGGCAGTGGCTTTGAGGACATGTCAGTCCGAATGCTTGCAAACGCCGATGGATGTGGTCAAACGGATTGATTCCAAACTAGGGCACCTTTGGAGGAACAAGGACCAGGTGTTCTCTATTGAGGTGGTTGACACTGTGACTAGGATGTAGAAACAATTTGATTGTCATACTTCGCTCAGATTTAAGTCATATTTTGGCCCCAATTGTGTTCTTCCGAGTTTTGCCCGTGTTTTCACCCATGGTCTAAGGTACGCGATTGGGTCTCTATTCTACCTGGTGGAGTCACTTTCAAAAATGCTTTCCGAGCCCGGAAGTGGATTGATGATGAGGACAAAACCCCGCTGCCCCAGTCGTTCACTTTCATGGCCAGGGCAGGCAAGGTAAACTTGTTCCAACTTACACACTCGCATTGTTTTGAATCTGCTACATCAGTAACCAAGAGCAATCAGTATTTTGCATACTATCGATCGGAATGTTTCTCTCCTGCGGCAGGTCTTCCGAACCAAGGGTCAGATCTTGCATTGAGTGACCGCGTCCCCAGAGCCTTGCGGTCAGAAGATGTGATGGATGATGTGTTTTGTATGGTGAAGGAGCGCATGGCGACCGATGGCCTGTGCCAGGCTCCCTTGTTGTGTCTTCCTGGCTCTTTCCTTCAGCAGAGCCAGCAAATGTTGAGACGGGCCAATGATCCTCAATGCCCGGTTCAAACCTGCCATCTTGAAAGTGATAGGCGGGATGAACTCCGTACTTTGAAGTTTGCCATGGGGAAAGACTTTCCTCATTTGACCCGGGCTGCAAGTTTCTATGAAAGTATGATTGCCTCTGCTTCACGTGAGCCTGGGGGTGTGCCGCAGCTGACTTTCCTCCGTCGTGCAAGCACAGACGGTCGCCGTGATTGGGGTGCAGTTGGGATTGGCCAAAGGCCCCGCGTTCCCAAGCCATACGAGCTCCAGGTTGTTTTTCACCGTGCTCGTGTGTGAAGTTAACTGCTGGGGTGCAAAGCAGTCTTTAAAAAATGCTTTTTCAAGCTTCAACTGTTCAAGATGAAATTTTCAATCACATGACAGCCGCAAGTCCATGGGCATGATGCTTTCTTATCCCTTTAGAATCTAGTAGGTGTTGCTTCGTCCATTGGCTCAATGTGAGCTTTTCACTTTGGTGCGGACTCGCCCCTGATTTCAAGATGGAGGGTGAGTCGGAAGGCCAAGCTGGCCCCATTGGTCAACTTCGAGCCTATTTCGACACAGTTCCTTTTTGAAAATTGAATGCGTTGGGTTTCAATCCAATCCGCCAATGGGCCATTTTCTTTCTATTTGGATCCGAGGTTGCAGCTGAGAAGAATGTTGGGGAACACGTAGCGTCGGTTTTCAAAGACAAAGCGAAGATGGCAGCTGCAGGGTCCTCAAAAATTATCCTGCTGGTTTCTATTTCATTTACCCTTACCCTGAGCTAAGTTTGGGGAGCATGGTTGTTCAGGCCATTGGGGAGCTTGTGGAAACCAATCCAACAGCGCAGCTGAGCAGAGCATTCCTCACCATGACCCCCAACGACACCATGGATGAGTTTTGGCTGCCTCTGAGAAGTTTTGACTACTCAGCAGCTGGAAAGAACGGATGTCCGGGCTATGACCAAAAAAACATCTAAAGTGTGGAATGGTTTTAATTGGTTGAACCAACTATTTATATTGGTTCGCTGCCAGTTTCTGAGTTTCAACTTCGTGACCCTGCAGTTTTTCCATCCAACACGCAGCTGGCCATTCACTTTCCAGAGTTTTTGCAGAATGGGTACAAGAGTAGCATCGGCAACATTGAGTGCAAGTTTCCATTGCGAAGCTCTTCGCGAGAGATTGGCGATTTCACGGTGGGAGTCACTGATGGTTTTTGCAAAATCATCATAATGATGACCATCGTGGTGATGGTGAAGGAGTTGGACTTTGGCAGGGACGAACTTTCTGATCCGCAACTTCGAATGGTCTTAGGTAGCTTCTCCCAGCTCCGCTGCAGCTACCAGCACTATGAGAACCCAGCCCATTTCTTCCTCCATTCGCTCAGATCCTTTTCTATCATCTTTCAATGTTTTTATTGTACCCTCATCTTTGTCCCGAGGCAAGTTTTGGGCAACAACCTGTTTTACAATGTGCTAGGCTCTTTCTTGTGGCCAGTTCCTTGAATGCTAAGAAACGGGCTATGTGTCTGCAGAGAAACAAGGGCCATCACCGGTGCAAATAGTTGCAGAGCTGCAGCACGCAATCGATCTCCAGCGACGCCAAACGCATTCCAAAAAAATACTCCCCTGCGGGACATGTTGAACAAAATTGTAGCAGAGTACAACAGGTTTGCTTCCAACAAGAAACACCGCTTAGACTCTGCCCGGAAAGCTTTGGCCCTCAACTTGACCCTAGGGAAAAGCTTAGCCTTACTATGCCTTTTTCAAATGGTTTGTATTTCCCTGGGATTTTCCAACCTGGTCCAACTCCACTGAGCTTTCTGGCCTTGACAGCTTGCACGATCCAGGATGCGGTGCCCATCTGCCTTGCTGACGAAGCTGCATCAGCATTATGATCATTACAAGGCTGAGAATTCAGGAGAGAATAATTGTGGGCACATGCTGGGTTTGGTCTACCTTGTGTTCAAAAAATAAAACACCATGTCGGGGGCCAAGGTCTATCTGAAACGATCCCTGAACAGGAGTACCCCATGAGCTGCTGCAGGCAGACTACTTTGTTCCTGGCTCTTGCTCCCGGAAGGAATTCGATCGATATCGGGGAAAAGAAATCTTTGCGGAAATCTTGGAGGTGACACCTGAGATCACCATGATGTACTTTGACCGTGTCATTCAGGACACCACATGCAGCGTCTTTGCATGGTTTTCCTGTATATGAGTTTTCCTGGATTCCCAAGCACCCACACCCAGAGAACTGGATAGAGAGTACCTGGCCCAACCAAAGCTGATTTGGGTCAAAAAACTTGGCCGTCCTTGGTCTTAAGTTTGGCTGAAAAGGAGCCCACTTGGGCCCGACTTGGGGCCTAACTTGCGCCGAACTTGGGCCAGTTGGCCCCAACTTCAGCCCAACCAAGGTCCAACATGGCGCAATGCGGGCACATTTAGACGCAAGTTGGGCTTAACGTGCGCAACTTGGTCCTGTCGCAGAAGTTGGGCCCAAGACCGGCCCAATGTGGGCAACATGGCTTGGTCACGGGCCCCCATCCAAGCCAAAAAAATATCGCTGAGTCGCTGAGTCCGCAAAATTGGCTCCCACCTTTGGCCTGGGCTGCCCCCCCAAAAAAACCTAACTTGGGTTCAAGCTGAGCTATCTTCGACCCAACTGGAGCCCAATCTGCAGCCAATTGGGCTGAAGCGCATGGAGGCCCAAGTCACGTCCAAAGTGGCACGAGTTATAGTATCCTGTGGTGACAGCCTCAACACTAAGCATCATGGATGCCAGTGAAAACGCGTGTTTTGACGATACTTGGGCCGAAGTTGCTCTCAAACAGGTTCCACTTGGGGGCAAGTTGCACCATTTTCCTTCCAAGTTGGGCCGAAGTTGGGTTGAGGCCTTGTTGGCCGAAGTTGGCCCCAGTGGAGCCCATGTTGCGGCCGTCAGATCGACACGGTGCATTTGGCGGATTTTGGGCTGATCTGCAAAATGTGCAAAGTACTATAGCGGGAAATCGGGGAACCGACTTTTGGCGGCGCCCGGGCGAACACCCAGTCCGGTCGCACCCACTGCTAAACTGTACCACACCTCAGCACCTTCGGTGCGGGCGGATTTCGAAGCCGTGCCAGGATTTTTCCAGAAGGGCATCCAGGGAAGCCACCGTCAAAGCGAAGGACGGGGTTTCAAACAACCCCTGCATTTCTTGTTCTTTAGAAAACACAACATTGAATAATAATCAGTTTTGGGCACCTGGCCAGAAACAACACCAATTGTCGGAAGATGCGCACCTGGTGCTGTTTGACAACTGCTGCTTGTGGACTTGGATGCGGAAGAAGATGGTAACTACCTTCAACGGGGAGGTGGTGGAGAAGCACGACAAACTATTTGATGAAGGGTTGCTTACCTTCACACGGCAAAGCAGTTTTCCTGTTGGGCCAGGGTCCCAAAATTTTCAAATGCTTTGGCTAAGAGCCTACAGCGCTGCAGGATTAAACTAACTATTGGTTGCCATTTTTTTGAAGAACAGGGTGATTGGTTGCCAAATTTTTTTGGCCAAGGGAGCAAAATTGTGATTGGTTGCCGAATTTTTTTGGCCAAGGGGACAAAATTGTGATTGGTTGCCGAATTTTTTTGGCCAAAGGTGACAAATTGTGATGTGGTTTCCAGAAACCACGTCGCAAATCTGATGGTCTGGCCGAAAAAATTTGGCCAGCCAGGTCAATCATTTTTGGGATCGAAAAAATAACTTCAGATTGTGATGTGGTTTCTGGAAACCGCGTCGCAAATTGCTGGCTTTCGAGGGGGGCAATCATTTCCAAGCATGTCCAAATCAATTCCCCCAATCATGGGTAGCCTGGAAAAGGCTGATATCGTGATGTGGTTTCTGGAAACCGCGTCGCGTTTTTAAGTTG